CTTTTAAAAATGACTTCTCCTTGTGAAAAATTAATAAGAAGGGACATTGCTAGAACATACCCCGAACATGATTTTTTCAAAGAAAAAGATAGCCTTGGGCAGGAGGTCTTGTTCAACGTAATGAAGGTGAGTTGGTATTTCAGCCCTTGAAGATATACTAGCAAGAACAGGCACTAGCTTGGATTGCTGTGTATATAGAGAACTTGCACCAGATTCATGTGTTGTAAGTTTTTTTTAAAACACAGACACTGCAATGATTTAACAAATCCCACTTTAGTTTCAATGGCATTCTTGTAAGTTTTTTTATATCTCACAAAGTAAAACCAAGTTGCCATTAGATCAAATCACAGACTAACTGCTGATACTGTCATGGAATGAAGTGTGCCATGAATTAAAGAAAACAGCATTGCCCAAGACAAGAACATTGGCAATCAGAACTAGTATTCAGTTTGTAGGTATTTCTGAAAAAAAGAGGAAGTGCACATGGCAGCAGGAGCAAATGGCTGGTAAACGCTAATGTGCAGTTGTTCCGGTTCATTTGGCATTCAAATGAAAATGCCAACGTAGCATTGCTTGCATTACTTCGTCTTCACTAGAGGTTAAACTTTGAAGATCAGACTTTTCCATAGAACATAGTTTCAACAGAAAAGTTGGCAGGTTTCCAAATCATAATAATTTCCATAATTCTCAAACAAAGATGCCACCTGCATGGGGATCACCACATTTCATTCATCTGTAAAAAAAACCTGCAACATATATTTTTTCTGAAGACAACTAGTTTCATTGTCTGGTCTGTTCTATAAACGTAGTACTTTGTGAGATTTGTATGCCTGTGGTCTCTTTTGGCAAATTCCTGTTGAATTGTAGTTGAAAACTGCCTGTATTTTTGGTAGGTGTGCCTTAGCTTTAACTTTGTAAGTGCTCAGAGACCAATGTTTGTAGCAGCTAGAATGTCTGACTAAATGTCAGGTCTGACTAGAATGTCTAGGTAGAAGCTAGAATGTCTGACTAAAACTGGATAGGATGCCTGCCCTTGTTGGATTTGGGGAGAGGAAGAATAAGTCATTAACAACATAGCAGGATGAGTTATGATTACTTTTTATTGATAATGAGATTTTAATTGTTAAGAATTTTAACTTTATTTCCCAGGCTTACTCTTTGGTGGATCGTGAGGTTGGATACTGTCAAGGAAGTGCTTTTATAGTTGGATTACTGCTTATGCAGGTAAAAAATACTTTAAAATTTGTGAACTTTTAAAATCCATGCTAGAATGCATAATATACTGTTGTGATTTATTGGGAATTTTTGCAATGGTTTTCCTTCATAATTTTGTTACAATGTTGTCACAGGCAGCTATTTAGTCTGGAAATGAAATGAGATTTACTTTGTGTCATTCTATTTGCCAAGATACTGTACAGGAGTTGGAGAATGTATTTTTTTTTTCTCAGAGCTAAGGTAGGATTAATGGGTTTTGAGCTATTTTGGTGAGTGATACTTTAAAAATAAGTGAACTTCTCATTTCACTTCTATTACATGGAATCTCCTCATATACAGTTGATTTGATTATCTTAAAGCTGCCTTTGTATTATTGGTTTTTGGTTTATGAAAAAGTAGGGTATATAATAAAAAACTTACAGACCTCCATTTCAGTTTAGAAATTATTTGCTAGAATTTAATATATACAAAAGTTCATTGGAGTATTTGGCTGTAAATCCCTTAAGCAAAACAAAAACCTCAAAACAAACCAACAACCAAAAATACCACTCCACTGTGTGCACATGCACACACAACTCTAACCCCAACTCTAAATCCTCCTGGGCTTTTACTCTGATATATCGTTATATTTGTCCAGAGTCTTTACTGTGCTTTTTTATTTTTGATATAGATGCCAGAAGAAGAGGCATTCTGTGTGTTTGTTAAATTAATGCAAGATTACAGACTACGAGAACTCTTTAAACCAAGCATGGCTGAACTGGGCCTTTGTATGTACCAGTTTGAATGCATGATACAGGTACATACAAAATCTATCAAACTTGCTCTTCAGTAACTATGAATAAGGAACTTGGGAGTTACAGCTCAAGAGCAGGCATGTCTGTTGGCTAACAGGCTGTACTCTTGATAATAGCTAGTTTCAGAACTTCAGAAGTAAGTGCATGTGGCTCTGTGAGCAATTTTCTTTAACCTTTGGCAGACAGTGACTGGCTTTAAACACCGAAGCATGAGGATTTGTATTGCTGCAGTTTAAGCATATGAATGTTTAATTCTGTTTGGATTGAAGATGCTAAAGTCAAAGTCTTCATAGTCAATTTACAGTATCTTAAAAGATGGAAATTGGTAGATAACCTCATATGTAGAATTGAAATTGTTTTCAGCCTTGGAATGCAGGTTTTTCTTGGTCAGGCTGATGGAGAAAAATAGGTTTCTGTTTTGTAATCCAGTTTCTAACTTGATGACTGGGGTGAGATATCACGTAGCCCTAGATTTTGTCAGCTCTTTTTAGTAGCCCGTTCTAGATATTACTCAGGGATTTACACATTTGACTTCCTTGTAGGATCAGGAAGTGTTTTTGTTATCTGCTTTGCAGGGTAGACATTCTATAGGACATTCTATATTGGGATTTTTGTTGCATGGTTCTTGATAATGATGTGTCATATCTTTCCTAGTGCTGTTGCTAGTACAGACAGCTGCTATCTGTACTGAGTATCAATCATTTTCTTATATTCAAAATTTGTCAAAAACATGTCTGCACTAAAACTAGAAGCAGAAGCTTAACATACTTGTGTATTTTATTTCTCTTCTTTTCCAGGAACATCTTCCGGAGCTTTATGTGCACTTTCAGTCTCAGAGTTTCCACACTTCTATGTATGCATCGTCATGGTTTTTAACTATATTCCTTACAACTTTTCCACTACCAATTGCAACGAGAATATTTGATATCTTTATGTCTGAGGTAACTACTAAATAGTAGTCCTATGTTATATTTCAAGAGTAGCTGTTGAAAGCACTTATGTAGGTAGTGGTATAAATCCCATCATGATGGACAAATCTCATAGTCTTGCTTTTTATTTCTTATGCTGATTAGATTATTCTAAGGGAAGGTGTCTGTGTGTGCAGTTTGTCAAGGAGGAGCAGCTAAGTCACTGAATGTTGATACTGTGGGTAGCTTTGTTCCCTAAGCCTGTTGAAGTTTTCCCAAATCTGTTCTTTCTGGATGCAGTGCATTAGCATTGTATAAAGCAGGGACATCCATTCCTGAGTATTATGGTGAGTTTGCAGTGGAAACTAATGCTGCTTTTGGGGCAAAGTTAAAGTTCATTGGGGATATGCAAGCCAAGAAGAGGGAGTGTTAGTTCCTTTTATTGTCCAGATGAAGATCGGTGCCAAAGAAATTTAGGGAATTATTCAGTGTCGTCATCACAAAGACACCTATGCTGTAGTTAGGTTTAGAGCTTTGCATAATTGTAACTAGTAACAAATCATGGCTTATGCTTGGTTTGCAATCAGCTTTAAGAAAGCAGTAAGTCAAAGGTGGATCCTTTCAGCTTGCCCTCAGGAAAGTCCTAGATGGGGTATTTAGTGAGACATTCCTATTTTTTTTTAGTAGTTTAACTGCACTGTGCTGTGTCTGAAATGAAAACAGCTTTTTTGAGAAGTACTGAGGCCTTTTCTACTAGATATACTTAAAATGGTTGATAGAGCTGACTTAGAGAATTCCTGTCACTTGAGATTTTGCCTCATCACGAACTTCCCTGAGGGAGATGTCTGGCATCAGGACAAATAGCCAGACTGCTTGTCCTTGCAACAAAAAACAAAAAAACAAAAAAAACAAACAAACAAAAAAACCCACAGAAGCCATTTGTTGAGAGATTTTTTTCAGTAGCCCCTTTACTTGTGCTTACTTGGGTGAGATTTCCAATGTTACTAAATAGTAGAAAAACTCTATACTGTTGACAATGAATAATTGCTGGATATTTTTTAATTTCTCTTTTCAGGGTTTAGAGATAGTATTTCGAGTAGGCTTAGCGTTACTTCAGATGAATCAGGCAGAATTACTGCAACTTGACATGGAAGGAATGTTACAGGTAACATTATAATAATTTTATTATATATTTATTATTGGTTATAATAATTTTAAGAGATATCTGAAATGTGTAGTGTGTGTATATTTCCTTGCAGCTGTTAATTATGTGTAATCTTGTGCTCTGATTGCTTTTAGCACTTTCAAAAGGTCATTCCACATCAGTTTGACAGTGGTCCAGACAAATTAATCCAAGCATCTTACCAGGTCAAATACAATGCAAAAAAGATGAAAAAGTAGGTATTACATTTTGAGAAAATAGATTATACTGTTGCTGAGTTACTGTTTGTTTACCCTTAAGAAATGTTATTCAGTGTTTCATTTTGAATTTTTCGTCTTTACATTTTTGGGGGTTTTATACTATATAAACAGTTAAAACTGAAGTTCTGTCTTCAAAAAAAACTTCTAAAGTAGTATTTGCTATTTTTCTTAAATATAACAAAGCTATATCTCACAGAAATAATTAAAAAAGCTTTTGAAAAAAACTGAAGGTTATGGGGAATTACAGCACTTCTGTAAAAAGGAACTGAGAGGCTGGGTAGAGGGTGGTTTTCTGGTGGGAAGGGAGAATCTGGGGGTTTTTTTCAGAGTGAAGCAGGGAAAAGAGATGAAACTTTTACAATCTGGCCTGAATTCTAAAGATTTTAGTTCTTAGGAACTGGAAAAATAATCATGGTGGTAAAGTGCATTTATAGTTGAAATTAGTGCTTTTTAAAATATAGATTGATACAACTTTGTAGTAACATTGACAACAGTAAAATAACTTTCATTTGGTGTTTGAAATCTTGAGAATACCAGTACTTGTTGTTTTTAATTGCATGTCTCTTCTGCCTCTAGTAAATTTTGTTTTGATTAGCCAAGCTGCAGGCAGTGTGATTTGTCAGGGTTAAGTTTGGTGGGTCACCCTTTGATTGTAAAGTACCTTATTTTCATTGTTGCACTGCAGGTTGTGCCCAGGGTCTTCCAAGCTGAATTTGTCAATCTTTTTCTTTTTTTTTTTTCTGTCAGCAGCCTATGATCAGTAGAGTGAGCAGTCTTCTCTAAAAAAAGAAGTAACAGCAAAGCTTTCAGGAAAAATATTTTCTTTGCAAACCTTTACAAGTGTATGTAGTTGAAAATCCTGCCATTCCAAGTCTGAACTTCCTGTCTGCCTTCTGTAGAGGCATTGTTATCTTAGCTTGTGGGTTTTTCTTGCCTCCTTTTTCATTTGGTTTGCTGTGTAGAAGCTAAAATTGGTTTATATTTAAGGTATTTTTCTCAGATTTCTTTGCATCTTTTTCTTCCAGGCTTCCCAAGCTCTGATTTCTTTTGGCTGAATCTGTTGAATTGATGACTGTATCACATAAAGGGGTTGTTACAGAGTAGCTCCAAATTGCTGCCACTGTAATGTATCCAAACAAAACTCCTGCACTTCAGAGTGCTGGTTCAGTCTGTTCATATCTACTGAAATCTGTGTTTAAATTCAAGGTCCAGTCTAAGCACTTACAGGAGTGCATTTCAGAGGAAGTATCAATAATATGTATCTATTCTACTGTTATTTGTTAGGTATTACACCAACAAGTAAATTATCCACAATGTTTCTGATCATAATTTACTATTTCTAATTTTTAGGCTAGAAAAAGAGTACACTACAATAAAGACAAAAGAAATGGAAGAACAAGTTGAAATTAAAGTAAGGAACCCTCAGCAAATTTATTTATGAATAAGTTTAATTCCTAGATGGGGAGTTACATGTTTGATCTCTGCATGTAGCAGGACATAATTAAGATCCCCAAATTATTTTCTTTCACCATTCATATTGGGGATGTCTGTTCATTAAGGACACCTACAGTGACATTGAGGCTTCTGGTGGACATTAAACAAAAATCTTTGGGGACCTGCTGTACATATTTTTTTAGTATTTCCTGCTGACAAAAGCTTAATAACAGATGCCCTCATTTATCAGAGGTTCCAAATATGCTGGTTTAGATGTAGGTGCTCCACACAGGAGGTTTGTATGACACATGTTAGGATAGACTTCATAGAGTGCACTTAAGTGGATTGTCTTTGATTTTAAGATCTTGATTTTTCTTATGTATTGGACCCAAATTGTAGTATCTTCTGTCTGCAGTCACTTTTTCTTTTGGAGCTTTTGCAGTTAATATAAACTGGGGGAAAAAGCCAAGCTGCCAGTGTTTATTTTTCTCTTTTTATTAACTGGCCTACTTCCTGGATGTACTTAATCACTGCATCTTTTTGCTCTTGTGACATAAATAGGCTTTTGATGCCTTTTTTTTCCCCATTTCACTTTTTTTTCCACAGCATGTTGTTTGATCTGGATTTTCTTCCTTGTGTTTTTAGCCAGTTCTATGAGAAAAGACATTGGGAGAAATGATGTGCAAGTGTATTATATAAAGCTTTGTTGAGGGAGTTAGGTACAGCCTTCCTTCTTCCTGTCCCCTGCTAGTTATTTTGCCTTTCAATATCAGTTTTTAAGGCATCAGTTCTTCAGAAAAATTACTGTGAGACTTACCTTGGGAGCACAAACGTATTAGGAGCCTTTTCAGGCAGTTTATTATTGTACCAGGCAGTGAGGCAGTTAGCAGTATCTGCTGTAGCAGCAGCTCAAATCAGATTTGCAGGGCTCAAGTGACAACTCTGCAGAACAGGACAAAGTAAAAGCATATGAAAGACAACTGTAACTTTAGATTCTAGTATACAAACTCATTTCAAATACTTTTCTGCTTCTTGCCACCATCCCAACCCCAAAAAAAGAAGAAAGCAAAAAACATCCCCAAAACAAAAACCATGAAGCCCACCCCACCAAAAAAACAACCAAAAAAACCCATCCAAACAATACAAAGCTGTCTGTTTCTAGGGCCTACTTTGGGACATATGTAAACAATTTCTGACTTAGCAGAAGAGACTATTTTAGGGGAGATAGAAAAACAACCATATTTTGAGTTTGCCTTTTAGTCTGTCAGAAGAAAGTATTTACTGAACATGTATCCAATGCCCTGTTCTGAGGGGTATGGATCTCTTCTATCTCAGTGCTGACTGCTAAAATTTAAAGGTAGTGCACTTGGTAAAGTTTGGTGTTCAGTACAAATCTTTCTTACTTCTTAGGCATTTGAGGTAATTCTCAGTATAAACTTACAGATTTATATAAATTCTTGTGTGAAAAGGGAAGGAAACCTTGTAGCTGCCTCCTTAGCTTGTCCTAGTGCAGGGAGTGCACTTTCATGCCTCTTAACCATGAAGACTGACTCTTATGAAGGGGGGGCTGTCGAGTCTGGTGTGGGGTTAAGCCCCATGGTTCATTTGCAGACATACAAAAAAAAGCTGATGCTTTTGCATAGCATGAGATGTGTTCTTGCTTTTGCCGTACCAAGCTGTTTAAACTCATATTTTGAGCTAGTACGTAATATGAAAGGATATTAAGAAGGTCACTAATTATTTTTTGGATTTATATTGATTTTCACGGATGTGATGAGATGAAAAATGTTGTTAGTTTGCTTTGCTTTTATCAGACTTTCAATTCATAACTTGAGAAATGGATTTGTGAACTGTTTACCTTCCAGAGGTTGCGAACTGAAAATAGACTCCTAAAACAACGCATTGAAACACTAGAAAAAGTAAGTATGTTGGGGGTTAGATTTATCTCAATTAATTTAGACTTTATTGATGGCAATTTCATTATATGAAATGGGAATCTTAGAATTATAGTTTACTGTTTTCCTGATAATTTCTGGTGTTTACTAGCAGTGCTTAGCCAAATAACATGTCTATCACCAAGAAATTAAGGTCAATGCTTTACATATATAAGGTTATGACTGCTTCTTAGTGATTATAAAATCAAACATTTTGACATACCCAGCTTGTGTGGTACTGTTTTCTTGCTGAATTAGAAGCATATGTTCAAAGTCCAGAAGACTCCATGAAACAGTGGACTGGTTGGTTGGAAAAGAGGTCATTGTGGGAGAATCCTCAGTTTTGAAAACCTGAAGCTGCTCAGTGTTTTTATGTAGGAGCAAAATGACAGACTTACCAATGACCAGAGAGATGTTGCAGCATTCATATTGAGAACAGGAACACTGCCATTCATTCATTCTATGTAGTTTTTAGGTTTTGTGGCAATTTTGGGTACATGGTGGGGAGAATATCTAAAGACTTATTTTCATATATTTAGTCTGGAGTAGAGTTCTGTTAGGTTTTTTTGTAACTGACTGAAACTTCAAAAGTATGCATGAAGACTGCTGTGGATATTTTGCAAACTGTTCTCCAGTGGCCTCTCCTGTATCCTGATATCACATTTCCTGTGGGAGATTGCATCTGAACTGCTCTGCTTAGGGCAGAGACAAGCAGGGACCATCTTTCAACAAATACAATTGAATGTTCTTGTGAGTTGCAAACAGTTGTTCACATTTCACAGGGAAGAAAATGGTAACGTTTCAATTAAGAGTGACATAATTGAAAGACCTCACACTTCAGATGTTAAACCCCACTGCAATTTCTTGAAAAGCAGTCCGTCTATGTCAAATTCTAATTAACTGATTTCAGAATTCAGTTTGGAAAAGATGTATAATAAGGGCATTGTGAAAATTGTGACCAAAAATATTTTAATTTTATGGACATTTTTGTTTCTAGTATTGGAGATTTATAAAATGAATGGGAAAGATTAGGCTCTCTTTGAGAAGCTCAAAGCTATAGTGAATCATTTCAATGCCCTTGGCAAATATATAATAGGTAATATCCTTGTTTTATGCTTAACTTGTAGAGGTTTGAAATATTTTCTTTTATAGTTGTGAAGTCCAGGATGAACTACCAGATGCTAGTGCTTTTGCAAATTCTGTACTTAGAATTTCAGAATTCACCTTCAGAAAATCCCAGTCTAATTGGAATTAAAACAATTCAAAATGGGAAAGTATCTATTAATAAGAATTTCTGCCGATTGTTATCATTGCAGCATTTGAAAGACATCATAAAGTGTGAAAAATACATGGAGTTCTTCTGTTGGAAACTTTAAAAATATTTTTCTGTCATTCAAACCCATCTGATTTAGTTGTGATTTCCTTAATGTACCTTAACTTCTAAGTAATAGCTCTTACCTACCAGTTTGAACTTCAGTTTTAGTGGAAGTTTCAAGGACAAAAAAGGTCTGGGAATAGATGTGTTTCTCTGTTGTAGAATGTTCAAAAAAAATAAGTGGTTTCAGAGGTGATAAAATAGAAATTAATTAAATGCAACAGCAGGATGGTAGGGCTTGTCAGTGTGCAAAACTGAATTTGTCTTGCAAGTTTGGCAAGGAAAGAGAATCTATGAACTGCTCAAGGAGTTACTGCAAGAGTTCAGCAAAACAGAACATTAGCTGTCATAGTTGACATTTCCTACTTGTCTGTCAGTTTGCACCATTTAACTTCCCTGCTTCATCTTAGTGGAAGCTGTAGTGCTGCATGAGTGCCTCAGTGCTTAGTGGAGTTCCCTCTGTGCTCAAATTATGCCTTTGTTTCATGTTGTGGGGGGACTGTAGATTGTGTCTTGCATCTATCTATTCAATCATGTCAGATAATGCTTCAGTAACTTTCATTGATTAGGGAAGTAAGCCATTCAAATAAAATCACCCAATCTCCTTAAATGTTAAATGTCCAATCTCTCTAAATGTTACAGAAATCTGGCTTTGAAACCTTTTTGTAACAAAGATGGACTGTTGCAGAAAAAGCTTCTTCCTGGGGCCTTCAGTCTGAATTGCCTTCATTTATATGAAGAGTTGTTGATTTTACAGAAAGAGTGTGCACAGAAAATGGGTAGAATTTGGGCATTTTCTTTCTATCAGCTCTTGGTCTTTTTTGTCACTATTATCAGCCCCTTTTATTTTGGTTTCCCTTTTCCTCATTCCTATCTGAATTTTTCCTTTGTAGGAAAGTGCTTCCTTGGCAGATAGATTGATACAGGTATAGTCTTTTAGTCTTTTACTGTATGACTCTCCTTCTACTCATAAAAAACCCCAACTGCTTTAATGCATGCATATTTGCATGCTGTATTCTAGCCCTGCTTTGCTGATTTGGAATAAATACAGAGCTAATATATCCTGCTAGAGACTTGTTTAATTTCATTTACTAAAAATATATAAACCCAATACCTGCACGTTATAGTAATTTTCCTAACCTATTGTAATTTTTTGTACAAATTCCTGTGGCAAATTGATTCTATGACACTGTATTAACAATGAAATTGAATATTGTGAACCTCAATCTGTGCATGTACAACTGAGTAATAATGCATGAAAGGAATTTTATTGAATGCAAGTACAAAACTGTGCTTGCTAAATGGATGCTGAACTTTGCAATAAAGTACTAAAGCAGCTTTTTAGTACTACTTTGTCCTAAAATTTCTACCAATTGTACTCTGTGCTGTTTGCAAAACCAATCTGATGAAATAAGCAGCTAAGCATCACAAAGGTAGCTTTCCTTGGATTTGTCAAGTGCTTAAAAAAATGAATTATGTCCTAAGGGACAAGTGACAAGGGCCCAGGAGGCTGAGGAAAACTACCTCATAAAACGGGAGCTGGCCACCATCAAACAGCAGAGTGATGAGGCCAATACTAAACTGGAGCAAGCTGAGAATACCATCAGGGAGCTCCAGCAACAGCAGCAATGGGTAAGGAGCCTGGCAGCACATCATCTCATCTTTGTTACATGTGTTTATTTTTCCTCATCATTACATGACATGGTCTCTGTGCTGTCTTTGTAAACCCCTGTTCATTGTGATTTGCATTCTTAAAATTACACAAATTGAACTAAATGAAATTTTGCTCTGTTCTACTGATAGATGAGATTCATAACCCTGGATAGGTGTAAGTTATAAGTTAATAAAATAAACCTAAACTACCTACCCACAATGAAATGCACCAAGGAAAAAATTCAAAAAACTTCCCACAAAACAACCCAAAACCCTTCCACAAAATAAATACAAAAAACACACATACAACCTCTGATAGCTCTTAATGCTAAAAATCTAGTCATTGCAACTTGTGTCACTCTGAATACTCAAATTTGAGCATTGATTCACAGTGCCCTTACCTAGTGTATAACTGAAGTCAGTTTCTTTCATATGAATGTTTTTTCTGTGTACCTGTATTGGTTGGGTTTTTTTCCGAATATGCTAAAATTTACTGCTTGCTGAAGTAGAGGAGTATTGTCCCTGATTTTGGAACTACAGAACTTGATTTAAAAGTGTGGGTTTATGTGCATATGGAGCAGGAAAATAATTTTTAGTAGCCTTTTCTAGTGCTGCACTTGTGTGCACTCTGTGTTTTAGGTAGCAAAATGGTCAAGACTTCTGACTGTTGCTGTAAGACTGAAATTACTACCCCTAAGACACTTGAAGTGCTCAGTATCTTCTCTTTGGGTGGGCAGGGGGAAACATTTTAGCATCTTCACTTGCTGACTAAAACTGTGCACCACTATGTTGATGTGAATATCCTCATATTGTTTTAAGTGGTATCCAACTACTTGTCCAGAGTCTTGGGAATTTCAGGAGTATGAAATGCAGCTTACTAGAACTAAGTATACTGCAGCTGCTTACCAGGTTTCTTAATGTCAGTATGGCAGTTTGTTTTACATGTCTTCCACCAAAGCTCTAGAAATACCTTTGTCTCA